GGATCAGAACATCAGTGATGAGAGAGAATCATTGATTGGCTGCCTCCTGCACACCCCCAGCTAGGGATGGATCCCGAAACCAGGGCATGCGCCTTGACCGGGAATCGAACTGTGACCTCCTGGTTCATAGACCAATTCTCAATCACTGAGTTACACAGGCTGGGCTCTATTGTAATTTTTTTATTGTTTAAAATATTATATATGTCTCTTTTTTCTCCAATTGACCCCTTCCCTGGCCACTCCCACACCCCAGGACATGCCCCCCCACCTCAGTGTCTGTGTCCATTGGTTATGCTAATGTGAATGCATACAAGTCCTTTAGTTGATCTCTTATTACCTCTCTACCCCCCCATCCCCTTCCCCCTGCCTTCCCTCTGAGATTTGACATTCCATTGGTGTTTCTCTGTCTCCAGATCTATTTTTGTTCATCAGTTTATGTTGTTCATTATATTCCACAAATGAGTGAGATCATATGATATTTATCTTCATCAACAAAACAACAGGAGATCCCACTGCATGGGAGAACATATTTGCCAATGTTACATGCGATAAGGGTTTAATCTCCAAAATGTATAGGGAACTGATACAACTTAACAAAAGGGAGATAATCCAATCAAAAAATTGCGAAAGACATAGACAGTTTTCAAAAGTGGACTTCTGATGGGCACTTAGGCTGTTTCCAAATCTTAGCTATTGTAAATTGTGCTGCTATGAACATAGGGGTGCATTGGTGTTCCTGATTTCTTGGGATATAGTCCTAGAAGTGGGATTACTGGGTCAAATGGGAGTTCCATTTTTAACTTTTGAAGTAACTCCAGTGTTTTCCACAGTGGCTGCAACAGTCTGCATTTCCATCAGCAGTGCAAGAGGGTTTCTTTTGTTTTGTTTTGTTTTGTTTTGTTAATCCTCACCAGAGGACATTTCTTCCATTGATTTTTAGCAAGAGTGGAAGGGAGAGGGAGAAACAGAGAACAACATTGATGTGAGAGAGACACATCGATTGGTTGTCTCCCACACACACCCAAACTGAGGTCGGGGATTGAGCCTGAAACCAAGGTATGCACCCTTGACCAGAATGGAACCCATGAACCTTCAATTTGTGGACTGATGCTCTAAGCACTGAGCCAAACCAGTTAGGGCAATATTCAAAATATATTTCTAAAAATTAATTTTGTTTTTTATCTGAAACATTTTTATTATGTCTTTTCTTCTTCCCATTCTTTTAGATGTTATAACTAAATGTTTGCTACTAGAAATTTTAAGAAATGGTATGGTGATGGCCAGAGGTGGGGGTGGGGTGAGGGCTCAGTTGGAGGTGGGTAAAGGGGGAGGATGGGAGATATCTGTAATAATGTCAACAACAACAACAACAAAAACCCTTTAATATAGAACTCAAACAAAACAAAATAAAAAATTGATAAATAATATCCATGAT